AACAGTTTCTTGGGAAGACAAACGCCATCACTCTGAATGTCCCCCCCTTCCTTCCTCTTCCCCCAGCTTTCTATGCTGAGCATGACGCCATATGGTGTGGGATATCCCTTGGGTCAGTTGGGGTCAGCTGTCCCGGCTGTGTCCCCTCCCAACTCCTTGTGCACCCCCAGCCTGCTCACTGGTGGAGTGGGGTGAGAGGCAGAAAAGGCCTTGACTCTGTGTCAGCACTGCTCAGCAACAAATAAAGCATCCCTGTGTTATCAACACTGTTTCCAGCACAAATCCAAAACACAGCCCCATACTAGCTGCTGTGAAGAAAATTAACTCTATCCCCGCCAAAACCAGCACACCTGTTCTCAAATATGTTTCATATAACAAGTAATACCACCTGCCTCTTAAGTTATGTAGTTCTTCTCTATCAGTATCCCTTTATAGTTTATCAAAATATTAAAAGTTATATTTTAAAGCAGTTTTCTGGCCTATAGTAATTTGACTTGCTGTAAAAAGCATTGAAATAATTCTTGTGGAGTTAAATCCTGCTACTTCTAAAATTAATTTAAAAGAAAATGAGGTAAAAATCCTCCCAGTGACTTCAAAGGTTCAGGATCATATCTGTATTCCCGCTTCCATGTGTGTCTTTTCTTGTCCTATTTTTGCTTCTGGATCTAAAGCAGTGATCCTCAGTAGCGCAGTCTTGTGAAACCTCCCCTTGAACTGGCAAGTCAGTTTTGCTTAAGATGCTTACTAGGCAGTGCTTCATCTTGCACTTGCAGCACACGGAAGATGGTTTAAAATTAAAAGTGGATTTTTCAGATCTCAGCATATTCGACTGCACAAACAATAGTAACCACTGCTTTTACCTCTTGCTGCTGGTCAGTCCTCAGTAATGTTCTGTTTCTGTATATTAAAACATCTATTTAATGAGTTTTTTGTATGTAAGAATTTCTTTTGTTTAGTCATTGCTTTTAATTATTCATTCTGTTATGTACACTGATTCTAGCTTTTTATTACAAAGAATGAGAAGGGGAAGTGAGAGCTTCATAGATGACCAGTACAGTATATTATGTAATAGAAAATGCTAAAAGCTACAGTAGTAGCTGGAAATTACCAATGGCACCAAGTAAAAGCTTGAAGTTTACAAAAATGTAACAGGGAAGAAGTCTTAATTGCAAATCAATCAATAAAATAAAATGGTATCAAATTTCATTAGCTTCCTTTCTGCCTTTTTAAAGTTAAAATGCTGCAACATTAATAAACCCTTGAACTGAATAACAGCTTTCTGGAACAGCAAAGGTGAATGTTACTTTATACGTTACTCACTTCATAAAGCTGAAAATATTTTCAGATAGTGGAACTTTTTAAACTAAAATAATTATTTTACGTCTAGAAAGCATTTAAGCAATTTCAGATTTCTTTCATCTGCATCTTCCCTCCAGGGCTGTGTTATCCTTGTGTTTGTTGTTTGTTATCCTCTCACCTAAATGATTTATTTTTTTTCCCCACAACAGCTTGCTATGTCATACTTTGGGTTTTCATTATTAAAATAATATCCTGAATACTCTGGTTGTGCTTAGCAAGGCCCACACTTTTAAGGCTGTGAGGTATGTTCTTGTAGTGAACGTTCTTGTAGTTGAGAAGTGTAAAATATTTCAGAAAAGTCTATGCCTGCTTATATGCCAACATCAGACTTAGGTCCACTGTCAAATATCAGAAGTACCTCTTAAATTATGCTGAAGCCTAAAGTACTGGATTCAATCAATGTCTTACAGTATTGAGGACAGGTTATCATAACCCATCCATCTAGAAATTACAGTAATACAAGTTTTCCCCCCCCCTCTTTTTTTTTAATTTTTGATCCACCCTTAATCCCTATTTTCTTTCGTAAACGGTTGGAAAAAAAGTTCTTTGACAATGCAATTGCCAAATCATTATCATTATTAATAAAGTTACAATAGTAAGTGGCTTATGTTATCGTAACTGCAGCTAGTTTTGTGAGGTCATGTGAAAATCCATGTAAATGTACAATCCAGCACAAACGTTTCCAAGGGCTTTGACACCTTCATTTAACCCACAGATACATATTATTGATTAAGGCTGCTACTGTATGAAAATGGTTTGTTCTACAGCCTTCTACGGCACTTGCAGTAGAGTCTGTAGGGGACACACATGCACGTCTTGGGCACTTCAGTGGACCTGAAAGAGGGTGCAGTTCAAAGTCTGGACTTTGCATCAAAACAGTTGAAACGTTCACACGCTCCTATTCTGCGGACTTTGGGGAGTAAGAGCTGGCATACAGACAGATGTCAGCAGTGCCGCCTTTAACTGCTACAGTTTGATTCATTGGTACTCTGCTGGCAACATCTGAAGAATCAATTGCTCTTTCTGTAGCCTTTAACAATTCCCGTATCTGTGGTGCTGGCCTTTTGCCAAAATAATGCCTTTTAATTGTTTTTTTTCCTAACTTCCTCTTTTCTGCTGCTTATTCTATGTTTCTGTTCTTCAGCTTTTCAACTTAAGACTCCTCATATGAGCAGTATCTGGTATTATAATTTACAGAGTACCACTTTAACAATAATGGTACTGCATCTTAAAACTACGAGCGCTCTCTATTTTAGCCAAGCTAGGAGGCTTGAATGGCCCTCTGTCAATGCAGAACACTTTGCCAGTTTGCATGGGAACAGAAGCGAATTTTTTTTTCCAGCTCCTAGCTTTACTTCAGGGCACTTGACATACTTGCAATTTCCATTGTGATATAACCTCTTTAATGTTTGGATACCGTATTTATTTGCCACAGTAACGTCTCAAATGGAAAAGAAAATAAAACTGAGAAATCTATTGTAAAAGCTGTCGTGAACGTAGATCACTGAAAGGCAGCATTTGCACAAAACAATTTTGGTGGTTTAAATCTTTCTCATGTGTCCCATGAGCTTACCACCTCGTTTCATCAAGCTTCCTGTTTGTACCACAGTAAATCAAAATTTGCTTAGGGTAAATGTCTAAGGAAAAATTTCCTATCTTTAGATAGAGAAGTTAATATGGTTACAGATCTTAGGCTTATATTTAATAAGCATAGCCATATGGATTCAACCCAGGTAATGGATGGGCTCTGAGCTCTGTCTTCCTTCTGTTAGAGTTCATGTCTCTGACAACTGGAGACCTGCCAGGAAAACCACTTGCAGCATTGCATAGCACAGTTCAGGAGGGCAGGAACTCAATATCAAACCTCCTTGTACTTATTATAGACACGTACCTGGCTACTAGACTAGTTAAGGCATTTCTAGAGTCAGGATGGTTGTATAAACATTTTTAATATGTATTGTGTGAGAATACTTCAGTTTTGTTTGTTTCTCTGATAAAAAAAACCTACAATCACAATCCTAGGAAAACTGAAATTGAACTGACTTTCACATCAACGTAACGCACTGGATATGAGGATGAGAGGAAGCGATCGCTAAACTTCCTCTCACCATCATCGTCTCTGTATATAGATTTCAGTTTTATCAATAGAGACAGGCTTTTAAGTATTAGATGAGAAGCTTTGATTTGGCCTTTAAAGACATTTTTTCTTCTTTTACTTTAGATTTGGTGTTAAAAAGAAACCAATTTACATAAATGTCATAAGAGATCCTATAGAACGACTAGTTTCTTATTATTACTTTCTGCGCTTTGGAGATGATTACAGACCAGGGCTACGGAGGCGAAAACAGGGGGATAAAAAGGTAAAGTACACTTTATTATATATGTAGTTCTTACTAAAGTTAATGTGAAAACAATTTTAAAAATGTCTTGATAAAAGCTGAATAGTTCTTATATTAGCCTTGGTGATGATGGTGGCTTTGTAAGTTATATTCTCCCCGATGTGTCTGTACTGGACCAGAGTGTAACATTAAGTATGTTCTCTGTAACCTTATAAATTTACTTGATGTTGCAATTTGTTAAAAAAAATTAAATGAAAAAATGTTTTCAGGTATCCAGAGTTGTAAGTATCAAGTTAAGCATATCCTCCTGTGTAAGAAATCTACATCTCTTCTTGTTGAAGACTGAGATACACGTTTTTTACCAAAAGCTGTTGAATTGCTGATGCTTTGGCTTTGATGTTTATTTTTTTATGATTAGCAACCCAATTTACTTTTTTTTTTTTAATGTAAGTATTGCAATGGAATTGTGTAAAGACTCTGCTTGAAAACTATGGAGTATGAATCATACATTTCTATATTTCCTCCATCTGTCTTAGGTGGCTACAGGAGTAGTTCAGGTTAGCATATTCAAACCTTGATTACTAATACAGTTTCAGAATGGCAACATTATTTAGGGTCCATAATATATTTATTCCAGAAAGAATTTATACATCCACTGTCAAGTTTTGCAGTAAGACATTTGTTGGAGTATGTTGCTTTGGACTTTTCTTAAATGAGGAAGAAAACTAGGGTATTAAGTATATGAATATAGTTTATAAAACTATAGTTAGAACAGTGTTGAAGCTTTTATAAAATGTAAGGGGGGGTTGTACTTTACATAGCCGAACCCTTTTTTAAATTTCAGTGGCGATATTTTCTTAAACTGATGAAATTTTTCTGTAATGTTGACAATTTAGTGTAGCACTGTGCGAATACCAAGAGACATGGAAAAAATAGCGAAGCAAAAATCACACTGAATACAGCTTAGTCTATAAACACCATAACAACTAATAAATGTGACTAACCATTTTGTGTGCTCCCCCCATCCAAATAGTGTTTTTTAAATATTGGGAACAGACCATTCCTCTTTTCTTTCCAGTTGATAACTAACTGCTCCTCTGTCATTTAGGTTTTGGCGCCATCTTCTGCCACTGCATTTCAGTTTATCCAAACATCCTACAGCATAGGTAGAGGAAAGCTTCAAGCAGAACAAATTAAAATTAAGCTTAAAAAACGTATCTTCACAGAACTGGGTACAGAGATGATTTGGTGATATGGTATCATAAAGGCATTTTTAAAAAGAGAGATAGGATCTCATCTTTTGTAACCTACTCTGTTCCTTTTCATGAGGAGAATGATTTGGCTATGGAATTCCTTCCTGGTGGAGATCAGTGAGTTGGAAAGCTGAGCATGCTACCAAGTCCAACCTGTTTATAGAACTTAATACTTACTAAAAAGGGTGACATTTAATAGCGTTGTTTTAGTTTTGAATTATAATCTGAACAGCCTTGTTAGGTAGTCACTGGGAAACATGAAGCCAACATCCCAAATGCTACTGCTTGGTAGACTGCACTGTAAGCTCTGATTTGCTGGAAGAGGTTGAAATGCATTCCTATTTATAATGTTTGTAATGTACTGCATTAATAATTTTATGTTTTTCTATTAAAGATGCTTTTTTTCCTTTTGTCACTATCATACCACTTCATTTAGGTCTGAGACTTAGTAGTTGCCATACGGATTTAACTTGTCCTGTAAGCATCTCTAGTTCATTTCATAGAATCGTAGAATCATTAAGGGTTGGAAAAGACCTCCAAGATCATCGAGTCCAACCATCAACCCAACAACACCATGCCCACTAAACCATGTCCCTAAGCGCCTCATCTACACGTCTTTTAAATTCTTCCAGGGACGGTGACTCAACCACTTCCCTGGGCATTTCACTTCATTTGAAGTGAAAATTATTTGCTATGCCAAGTTTTAGGGTTTCTTTCACTTAAATCAGGTAATACTATTTTTCCATGGTGTTTCCAAGAAAACTGTACATATATAGATGGTGTCAGTTTACATACATTAGATATAAAATTCAGTAAGCTCAACAATGAATTGACCCAATCGCAGTGTCTATAACACTGGTATCTATTCTAATCTGTGTTACAGTAGATTCACTAAGAGCTGTTCAAATGAAAAGTAGGGAAGGTCAAAAATGCAATCTTTCTAATGGAAGTCAATTGTTCCTTTATTAAGTGGAAAGTAATCTCAACGTACTTTACACCCTCACCCGCTCCCAGTCCATACCACAGCATTTATATGGAAAGAGTTCTTCATTCATTTTCTTTCTATATCCCTGTGCTTCCAAAGTTATAGATAGCTTGGCTCCAGAAACAGAGTCTGTAAAGACAAGTGTTTCTTATAATAAAATCTCTGGATGGAGTAGTCAGGGTAAGTATGTAAGAGGAAGTGGGGAAGGAGGCCTGTCCTATTTCGTCTTACTTAGAAAATTACTTGCTTGCTTTTGCGTATTAGCTATAAAATAACCTGCAGGTATAAGCAAAGAAGTCTTTCTTTTGACAGATGCCAGTTCGTATTTAGTATATACATTCATAAGCTAGGAGGTGCATTTAAGCAATTTAGTTCTGAGGTACTGCTGATGTTATAAAGTACTCATGATAGATCAGTGCATAATTTCTCTAGAGAACTATGCTGGAGAGAGCATACCAATGTCTTGTCTTCCTAGTTAAGCTGAATCTTTATCTGTAATATGTGACATGTGCAAGCTATTCCAAACTCAAAGTGCAATGTGGAGCAAGACACCACAGGTTAATCCCTGCTTTGGCCTGGCATCAGTAAGTTTTTCAGATTGTCTCAGGAACTTTACCTCAAAATAGGAGCAAAGGACGTTGTCCTTGTTCTAACACCAAATAATTAAGCAAATGTGTTTTTACATAGTTGTTTTGAACAGAAACTTGTAATTATACAGAAGAAACAGTCTAAAAAGTTGTCTATGTGATCACTTATTTGTCATTAAATAATTTTAAAAAAATCTATCCTAGATACCTGGCTTATATCTCGATTCGAAATATAAATACTTTATGGCAACTGGGTGAAATATTTACAAATTCTTTCCAATGCTAATGGAGTTCTTATTGTAACTGTGTTACTGCAGTTGAAATTCTGTGTTGCTACAGCTGTCTATCCATGTCGAGGGATGTTGTATGGAATATTCTGTTATGCAGTGAACAACTTGCTTTCACTTCTTCTGACTGCCAAAAACAAATTGGCCTCTGAAATGGCAGTTATTTGTCACAATGTTTAAAATACAATAGAACGTTTTTTAATCTAAACCACAAAATGCACAGTGTTCTATGGTATAAAGATCCAGCTGCTCCAGTATCACACAAATCCTGATGGCATTGATGCTGCATCTTTAGTGACTTCTTTTGTAAAGGAAAAATAATGATACCAACACTTATTGACTGGTTTTGCTTATTTTGACATACAGCCTTTATCAAGGTTATATCAAAGGTATATCAAACGTATCAGGTAAGATCAAATTGTTCATTAGTTCTAATTATAAAAAACTGTCCAAATACTATTTTAATTGAGACAAATAGGTCCTCCTAATAACACTGTGAAAGCAAGACTTGAAAAAATTACTTTTTTTTTTTTCTTTCACATGGTATCCTGTGTTTTTCTGTCCCCACTACATTTAGCAACTAACCAGGTTGAGATGTTTGATACATATGCTAGAGTTTAAAGCTCGGCTCAATTTTGTCTTTGTTCCAGACCTTTGATGAATGTGTGGCAGCTGGAGGTTCAGACTGTGCTCCAGAGAAACTTTGGCTTCAAATTCCATTCTTCTGTGGCCACAGCTCCGAATGCTGGTAGGGAGATAAATGTAGCTTAAGTTGTTAGTCAAGTATATCAGCACTGAAATCTAAACTTAACAAATTTGAATATGTAGCACAGTTGGGGAAAGTGTGAGGGACGGGACAGAATGAAGCAGCAGGTACGTTAGTAATGTATTTTCTTTTGAAGATGCATTTTAGTGAAACAGTCTTGCAGTTCTGTAAACAAGCAATATGTTACGATACAGTATCAGCAGTGCTATGAGGGAAAACAGATGTTTTCAATTTTAAAAATAATTTTTGTAGATTTGGAGTCTTGACATTTTTCTCTTATGTCAGGCTACAATATCTGTCTTTCTGAATGAAGATATTGTGTTCAAGCTCCTAGAGTTTCTGGGGAGAATAAAATAATTGAGATCAGGAGAAATTTATCTTCTTGAACCTTTACCAGACATCCAGTAGTCAATGCTACTTAGTAGAAACCGAAACAAAAGCAAATAGTGTCCGTCTGTCAATGCAGCATGTTTTCTAACAATGGCACAGACTTTAAAAAACTCTTCAGCAAACTAAAAAAAAAAGAAAAAGGACATAGATGATTTGAAGGATTCTGAGTGAAATCAAGGGCAATTATTTGTCAAAGGTACTGTTCATCCAAACATAAGCAAAGTAGATGGCCACTTGGGAGCTCCCCCTTCAGTACCTGTTGGTCAGACCTATCTACACCTGGGCCAGGGGGAGAAGCAGAGAAAGAAAGAATTCTGAGCCTATCTTTTCACCCTGTCTGGAGCTTTAAAAAGGAGGAAAAAATGTCGGTTTAATTTCTGTCTGTGGTTCAGTAGGGAAGTCCTCCCATTAAGTGCAATGACTTTCTAGTTCAGAATTATGCTTGTAGGATGCAAAAGGGAAAGCGTGTTCTTACCACAACCATTTGTGGTTTCTAATGTGAAAGTGGCGACTGAGTATTGACATTGAGAAAATGTAAATCCTCCAAAAATTGCATTAATAGAGACAGTAACCGTATACACACATGGGTTGTTTTGTGGATGAGTTATTAGCCAAAATAACTAGAGGAGTCAAATTTTTAGATAAGAACACAGATGAGAGAAACTGGAAAGGGAAATGAAATTAGGAATGGTTATAACTTGAAATGGGTCTTGCCTTTCCTACACTCAGTCCTGTTATGAAGTAATCTCCATCTAGGGACCAAGGATTGTTGGCTGACATCAGAACTTGCTGTAATTGTTCTCTGTCATTTTAGGAATGTGGGAAGCAGATGGGCTTTGGAACAAGCCAAATACAATCTGATTAATGAATACTTCCTAGTGGGAGTTACTGAAGAGCTTGAAGACTTTATCATGTTATTGGAGGCAGCTTTGCCCCGGTTCTTCAGGGGTGCTACAGAACTGTACCGGACAGGTATTTAAATGGTTGACTTCCATGGATTCCGTAGATTTTTCATCCTCTTATCACTTTTTTTTAATGTGAATTCTTTAGACTTAGATGAATAGTTTTGAGTCTTTGCCAGGTTTGCCTCTCAGTTGTCTGATGCTCCTACAGAAGAGACAAACTCTTTAAAAGACTCTCAGTACAAATTTTTGAGGGCAGCCCAAGTATCTTCCCACCTTACACAAATTGTAAGTATTTAAGGTTGGGGTAAAGGCAGTTGTGTAGGTATACCACACTTAAAAAACTGTGCCATGTGTTTATCAGAACAGTTTTGAAAGGTCTTGCAGGGGCTTCAGTTTTGTAAAATGGCTGGTAGTGGCAGATTTCCATTTCCTCAGAAGCCCTGCTGAAATTAACTGTGCTTGATGCAACCCGGTTGGCTGTGCAAAAAGGCCCAAGGGATACAAAGGCCCAAGTACATGTTTATCTTCCTGGGGTCATAATAAGACATTTGCTATATAGCTAGTAGCTCATTTTCTAGGAGCTGGCCATGCAACTTATGATGAAGAAAAGGTCCATCTTAGCAGGGCTTCTGTCTGCAGATAGAGGGAGAAAAGGGTCTGATGTATAGAGCCTAGATGTGTAGTATTAACAGGTTTATTATAAAGCAACAGATAGCACTTCTTAGGGAAAATGCTGTTGTCATTTTGGTCGTCGTCGTCTCACGAAAGAAATCTCTTTCTTTGCAGTTTGTAAAATTCTTAACATTTGATACCAGATTAACATCTAAATAATTAATTTTGAAAGACCAATCTTGCTCCAAGTACATTATGTAGAGTAATCGTGTTCCTTAAATGAAGTGTTCATTCCCTGGGTTTATTAGAGTAAGGAGAAAGAATTGAAAGTACTGATGCAAAATTCATTAACATTTAGTGAGAGAGACTGTAATTTTCCTACCCGGCAAGTTATGTTAATAAATTCTGGATTAAATTCTGTCACTTCTAATGCAGTTTATCAACATGCTGAGAGTATAAAACCCTGTAAATAAAAGGACTGTAAACATTTTTTAATCACGTGAACTTTAAAGTGAAGTTATTGCTTTCATTTTGTATTTAGGAAAGAAGTCTCATCTTAGGAAAACAACTGAGAAAAAACTTCCCACAAAAGAAACTATTGCCAAGCTACAACAGTCTGAAATCTGGAAAATGGAGAATGAGTTCTATGAATTTGCACTGGAGCAATTTCAGTTTGTCAGAGCACATGCAGTTCGGGAAAAAGATGGAGAATTGTACATTCTGGCTCAAAACTTTTTCTATGAAAAGATTTACCCTAAATCAAACTAAGAACACTATACTGTTAGATTTATGGACCTAAATCTTTGGTCACATCGTCATCTTAGTCCTCAGCCATGGAAACTAGATTGCTTGTAGACCTCCAAGACGTTTCCTTACAGATCTGAGAAAAGTGGGCTGTGGATCACCTCCAGGGCGTTGGATACTGGCTAATTATGTTGGTAATCCAGAAGGAAAGGCTTCATTTCTTTTATCTAACTAATACTTTCAGTGGGAGTTAATATCCTTTACCTGAAGAAATCTACACTTTAATTCGGAGCAATTAATACACAGCAGTTCTAGTTGAAAAAATAAACAAACAAAAATGCTTCTGTTGATGCTCTTTTTAATTTTCAGAGCAATTTATTTTCATTTATACTTCTGTGAAGAAGAAATCATTTTTCCCAGCTTTCAACATGGAAATTTTGGTTGTATACAATAGGAGTAGTGTTAATAACTGGTTGACATCTGTGCTTTGTTTTTCTGAATCATGTCACATGATATTAATTGGGATGGTTAATCATGTTCTGCTGAGAAATGCTGCTGCTGCTGAAATTGCCCATATTTATATATGTGGTTTTATTAAAAAATTACAACTAATCATTAGTATTAAAACATCATTTCCACGTTAATACTGTAAAAAGTTAAAGAATCAGAGCAGTGGGGTTCTTGTTTTGTTTTTTATCCCCACCGCCACTGGCTGAGGTTGGGAAAACTACGAAGAAAGTTGGTATTGTCTGCAGTTCTAGTTGATCCTTACACAGTGGTATAAAAATCGTAAATTCAGTATTAAGTTTCTCCATGGATTCTTTGTAATAATTGTAAACTGAGGTATTGGTGAATCCATATTATGACTCCATTAGTGAGCTGTGGTATGGTTAGGGTTTTCCTACTACTTCGATACTTTTACCTGTAGAATATTTTTACTAAGGTGCTTTATAACGTGTTTTAAAGCATTGCATTTACAAAAGGAGTAAAATGCTGTAAATACTGCTTATTTTATGTATTTGGACCAAAAGGTTTAAAGTAACTAGTTTAAAGTGGGGTTTTTGCACCAGTTCTGTTATGTGTGAAGTGAAAAACATCACATCTACTTCCTGGTTGAGTTAACTGTTGGACATTGCTGAAATGCACTTCAGTGACCTCTCTGACTTCAATACCAGAATGTTGTCCAGGGATTCTCTTTACAGAAGTGTAGTCTTCATCCTTTTATTATGGTAAGAGGAAAAGAAGAAAAATGTCATGTGTAGTCCGGTTGAGAAAGATGCAGTGAACTTGATTGACATAATTGTATTTCTGTAACTGCCTTATGTGACTATTGTAAATTTGTGAGTTGCCATTATTAACCATGTGAAACACCCAGTAGATGAAGTAAATTGAAATTTGAGAACAGATGTTTGGGGCCACTGCGTTATAGCAAATGGCAGTGGAGAACTACAAGAATTTGTTTCCGATTGAATTTTTTTCCTAAAGATCTGAGTATTTACACATCTTACACCTGCCTTTTCTTAAAGTGCTTTTCACAGGCTTTAATGGGGGAAGGCACTGAGGAGACAAAGTAAGGAATGGTGGTAAAGGTTTAAATTCCTAAGGGGTGATGCTGAAAGCTTAGTTTAAAATTACCAAGTGGAGTTTCTTTAACCAGCTTGTTCTTGTAATGAAAACAAAGGAAATGGAAAATGGTCTGTGAACTGGATGTCTGCAGCCAAAAGCAACAGCCCAATTACAGAGAGGATGATGAGAGACTATCAAGTACATCTTGCATTTTCTTTGTTTTCTTGGATTTTTCCCTTTGAATGTTAAAAATAGATCTCTCTCTGTTCTTCCCAAATAATCAGGGAAGTTCCCTCTGATAGCTTACCATTTATATAGCATGAACCATGCATAAGATTTCCTGTTCTAGTTCTTGGCTATTGACGTCATTAATAATGCCAACATGTTTGGGAATAGGATGTGTTAGTTCACACATGAAGACATGTTTCCTAGCTAAAGAAAGGAACTGAGGAGTCGCACACAAGAAGTAGCTAATGGAGATCTAAAAATTTCCATAACAAAGCAGTAACTTTTTTGAAAGAAAATGAATATTTAGAATCCCAGGAAAGATCATCCACTCAATGATAGTTTTATGTTAGATATTATTTTGACTGTGTTGTTTTCCTTAGAATAATTCGGATCAGTTTACCTTCTTGAGTCTCCTTCAGAATTTTCAGAAGAGCACCTCTAAGAGAGCAGGAGAGTTTACTGAGTGAAAACATAAAATATCGATCAAAGTAATGAAATAGGTGTGTAGACAAATGCTTCTGTATTGACAAGAAAAAAATAGGCAAAACTTCTACTGATTTCAGTAGGGTCTATAAAAAACTCTTCTATTCTGTAAGCAATTTTAAAAGTTTCTTTTTTTTCCTTCCAGGATTTAGAATTCCTTAATTATGAGTCTTCAGTAACAAAAATAATAGAACAATGCAATTCTTTTTACTTTTAAAAGAGCAATATATTTTTCATAGTTCATATAAGAAAACACATTTTATTTAATCAGATATCACTTCCTGTTCTTTGCTGTGAACTGACAGGGTTGAGACAAACAAGAATTTTAGGAATATTTTTTAAAAATGCTAGCTACAATTGGAGAGGTAGTCATTCCAGACGTACTCTGAAAATGTTATTGTCTGTGGAACACAGAAGGAATCAAGGCTGTCTACTTTTATATCTAGTGCAACCGTTAAGTCAACTGTGAACTTTTTAGAGTCCTTTGAATTCAGAACTATCAAACTTGGATTTGCTAAAAGACAGTTTTGGAAAAGGAGCTTTATGGATTTTTAATAACCTGCTCTTTTCATCTTCTATTCAGAAATGGAAACAATCCAAATTGTTGGTATTAAAAATGTTTTACAGTATATAAACAGAATGTATCTTGTGTATTTTCCCTTAATGACTTATAGTGAAAAGCAGCAATACATGGATTTTTATTGTTGCAGGTTGTATGATCAGTAAACTTGCTATGCAGCCTCCTGAACACGGATCTTTTAACTGAAGTCACTGTAGTCTCTGCACAGGAGCGAGATTGGCTTTTTGCAGGGCTAAGTTTGTTTGAAAGGTGCTGAAATGCTCATATATATATATATATATAGTTGAGAGTAGGTTTTGTTACGCTGTTCTGTACTTTTTGTACAAAATTAACGCCCCGATTTTGCGCAAAACTGTAGCCCTGTTGAAACTCTTGATGTCAGCGTAATGGCGCTAGGTCCAGCTGCGCTGGTAACTACATAACCATAACCACAGCATGTCTGGAGCACTTGGGATACACTGGGCAGTGTCGACAGGAGAGCAACAGTGGTTTTAGCTCCTTCCCGTAATAATTCTGCAGCCGTGCAACAAGAATTCCACTCTTCTTTTGTTAGTGCGTCTATAAGCAGACACAAGGCTAGGGTGCAGAATGTCCTACGTGCATATTCCCGCTTGCTCTGGGTTGATTTTCAAGCAGCCTGTCTATTAGTGGTACGCTGAGCATGGCTTCATTTTCGAACAGGCATGAAAATTTATAGCTATACAATACGGGAGAGGAAGAAGCAGCCCATCCTGGTCATTTGAAATGCCTTTTCTGGGTACTTAGTTTTTCTGAAGATACTTAGCTATTTTTACTTTCCAGGAATAAACATTTGCTTATTTATGGTCTCAGAGCAGTTCTATTTTATATCAGGGAAAATTCAGTTATTTTCTATTACAATTCTGTTAAAATCTTCCATTAAGCTTACCTGGCGTTGCTAAACATGTATATGACAAAAGGTATATGGATGACGCTGTCTGAACTGTGCTGCTTAAGCAGTCAGTGGAAAAGCCTGATTCAAGTGCACTGCCAATTTAGCTCTTCAAAATTGGAGCATATTTTATGACTACTAGAGATTAAGCTTAAGGAAACTGTAAGGCTGCTTAGTTGCAGGGATGCTTCCTTTACTGTAAGCCTGTGCAACTCTGTAACCTTTGCAGCAGTATTTATAGAAAGAGCCCTCTTCCTGAGACTTTTCTGGAGCATAATTATAAATGTTCATACACTTGTACTGTCTGATATTTACATCAGCAGCTTTCTGTAGCTTCTGCAAAAAGAGACAGGTTTGTGAGCATTTCTAAAGCAGTACTGAATGTAATTTTGAAAAACATGGATTGTGCTTCATGACTTCTTTCTGTTTAAACACACACACAGCTAAATAGTGCCTTTTTTCCTCACAATCCATGTTGAAGATGCTCGCTCCCACTCACCCTCCGTAAATTGATTCATTTGTGCAATATTATTCCAACTTGAAACCATTTTGTCACAGCTGTTTGAGAAATAATCTCCATTTTTCCCTACTATGCTGCCAGCTTTCTGTTGTTGAAGTGTTTCAGTTGATTACCTAATGCAAATGCTATAAAATAAAACACCCAGTGGGAAGGGGAAAGAAAAGAAGTCTGGTGTCCTGTCTTAATATTTGCATGTCACATTCACATTAAATGCTCTTTTTCTAGAAGACGTTGTTACGCAGTACTGTGAACTTCATTTGCAGCTATTGTGATTTTGGAGGGGAGGGGCGAGCTGGGATGTAGCTCGTCTGTAACAATTTCATATAGCTATAACCAAATATATTTATAGGCCTTTAGAATTCACATTGGGCTTTCCGGCCAGAAATGTCATAAATTTGCGGAGGGTATACACTGTGCTGAAAGTGTCAATGAAAGGTTCTTAATATTAAACCCGAGATTTGTAAGAATAGAAAACTGGCATTAAAACAATGCATTGATACGTACGTGCTTCCCTGCCGGAGGGAACAGATGACCTGACCGATCGCTGTGGTACTGGAAGACGCTCAGTTACTGCAGTGATGAGAACGGTATAAAAACTTGAGTAGAATAGAAGTGTCATTTGCATTTGTAAGCAAGCACTTAAAACAAGAAGATATAGTGAGCATGGGTACGCTACTCTGTTTAGGATTTCTGACGCGTTCTGTAACTGCTCTGTAAACATTCCTAGCTGCGTGCGCTATGGAGCTGAACAGTCGTCTGACCCAGCCAAGTTTCTTAATGCGATAGTTCCTAAGTATTTAGTTGTCAGCCTTGACGATTCAGAACCATCATGCAGTTACTCAGCAACTTCCACTTGAGGATTTTGATGGCTTTTAAACCCCCCTTTCGTTGCAAGTAGACTTTTCCTTACTTCCATCAGTGGAAGTGATAGGTGTAATTGTGCACGGGAAACAAAGTCTCTCTGCTTATATCAGCCAGGGGGAAGTGGAGGAAAAAATTGCCTATGTAAAGGTACAGGACTTCCTAAGGTCACTGCACCTCTTTCTGAAATGATGTAGTAAACAATGACAGCCAAAAAAAGTCGCAATACAAAAAATGCTTTCTTTAAAATGACAGTAGCTTCTCCTGAGAAAGAGAGAATGACTGTGGTGTTACAGATATGTGTTAAATACTGGTTGAACGTGTTTTTTAACTGATGCTGCCATTTGCACAGGTAATTAATCTCATCCGTTGGAATTCTTGGGAGGGGAGTGAAAGAAGGGAAAGGGGTTTTTTGTTCAAAGCTAGATTTTTTTCTCCAGGTCCTGTATTTTCATTTTATTTATTGT